AAAATGAAAAATTGCACCAAAGGTACTTGGTATCAAAAAAATCAAAATAAATCCGCGAAATAATCCGAAAAGATAGTTTTATTTAAAACACACACACACTAATAGAGATCTATTAGTTCCCACGGGAACCGATCACTTTTCCGGAATAAAAAGTAACCTATTTGTTATTCTGATGTATGACCTATATTATTGTAACGTTTCATCAAAATCCAATCAGTAGTTTTTGTGTACTAAGCTGTATAAGTTACTATAGTTTTTTGACTGTCCCACGGGAACCCTTTAATTTTCCTGGATAAAAAGTAACCGATTAGTTGTTGTCATGTATGAACTATATTACTGTAAAGTTTTATTAAAATTTAATCAGTAGTTTTTGTGTACTAAGCTGTATAAGTTATTATAGTTTTTTAACTATTCCACGGGAACTATTAAATTTTCCGAGATAAAAAGTATCTACGATGTTGCCCGGGGATATAAGGTACCACCATGCAAAATTTCATTTAAATCGGTCCAATAGATTCGGAGATTAGCCCGTACAAACAGACAAACAGAGAAACAAAAATTTGAAAAAAATCTGGATTTGTTCTATTTGTCTTCTTACGGTACATCCCACTGACTCGGTTTTTAGCAATTTTTTGCTTTAAACAGACATTCAACCTCTACTGTTTTATTATAGTATAGATGTCAAATATTCGCGTAAATCTAAGAAAGTAGTACATGTGGGTATGTGTCATGTGTATTTCAAAAGAAATCCCTTTTTTATATTATCAATAATAGATTTCTTTTTATTGAAGTTTAATCCATTAAAATATAGATCACTTATTTTGCTTGTGGACATGTGATGTGGACTGAAAGAAAATTCTATACAATTCATGATTTCCTGTGAGAAAACTGGAAACTGACTGTAAAAGTATATTATATCAAAGTTTAAAATAATATGTAGACTATGAAGTCATAAATGTGGTCATTCTTTCTTGTTGGTTCCTAAAACAATCATTATCTGTAGGTTTCTGCTTAAAGGAAAGTAAAAAAAAGATAGCTAAAAACCAACGAATATATTGAGTAACAAAGATAAAGAAATTATAATTATTGATATACCTATCTTTTTAGAACCACCTTTTTTCAGATGTTAAAAGATTGTAGCATATTCATATAAATTATCTATCAAATTCGAAGCAACGCCTTAATAAATTTAAGGGCAATATACAGATGGACAGCAAAAAATAATTTTTATAAAATACTTTGGAAAAATTGCATTATTTATATAAAATTAAACTATTAAGTAATATTGTATTGTATATAAAATAATTTAAAATATTACGCAACACAACCACACAAAATAAAAATTGGCCCAGGGGTCTGTCTGACTACGTTTACTATATGTTTTTGGAGTCGCTGAATCAGAATTCTAGGTCAGATTGATCCCATCGCGTCAGGATTTCGCTATAATCTCAAATAAAACTATAACCAACGCTGTTTATATCTTTAACGTTTTTACTCAAACTTCAAACCAAAAAAAAAACAGTTAATCCATTATCCCCATAACCCTATAATCCCATAACCACTAACCCTATAACCCCGTGTCTTTTGGGAACAAATTATATTCATTTTCTTTGCATTCTCGAACTGCACAATTTGTCATTTTCATTAAAACTATCTATATTTTCATTAAAATTATCTATACATATAATAAAATTCTAAGTAAGCCGAATCTCTACATTAAATATTTTTTGAAAAATCTTATTGCAAAAGACATTATTTAGAATGTTTGTCTGTCTGTCTGTTACCGCATCACGGAAAAAAGATTTTGATGAAATTTAGTATGATGGTAGCTGGTTATCCGGGTCAACATATAGGATACTTTTTACTGCGGGAAAATATCTCATTTCTAAGAAAAAATACAAAAACTGCAATTTATGAGTATACTAATATGTAAAACTTAAGAATTTGGTTTTTGGTCATCTGAACGCGGGCGGAGCCGCGGGCAATGTTAGTCTATAAATAAAAATGAATGTTAGTAAGCGCATGACTCAAGAATGACTGGACCAATTCGGCTAAATTTTGTTCGTATGTTTCTTAAGGTCCACGGAAGGTTTTAATAAAGAGAAAAAATGAAAAATTTACCTAAAATAAATTAAAATTTAGATGGCTAACGCTGGCTAATAACTATTTATACCTATTTAAACGTACCTAGCGACGAACCCGTGCGAAGCGAGGGTGAGCCGCTAGTGTATACATAAATTGCTTTGTCCTGACTGACTGATCTATCAACGCACAGCGTAAACCGCTGATCGTGGAAACGTAAAATTTAGAGAAAATATCCTTGCACAATGTAGGCATTGGCTAAGAAAGGATTATTCGAAATTCATCCCGTGAAGGTTGTAAAATAGAGGATAAAAGATTGTATGAAACTCTGTTATTCTTAAGGCGAAATGCACGGAAAGTGCTGCCTTAACGATGAGAAATATATGATTATGTTCTAGAGAAAAGTTGTAGAGCTTAATAATGCCTACAAAAAGTCAGCGACAGCATATGTCTAACTTTTATATTTAACTCACAAAAAGTAGCTTTTATATAAAAAAAATAATTTAAATCGGTAGGTCATGTTTATTGGTCATATTATCAACAATTATGAATTCTTATCAAAATAAGTACATTTATCGTCTAAAATGTTTAAAACAAAAGACTTTTCCCTTTTACTGCATATAATTTGGACAAATGGTTAAAGAGATAATACAACATATTCTTATGTATGGACGAACCCGGCGAGCTGTTTGTCTGTTTTTCTGTTTGTACGGGCTAATCTCCGAATCTATTGGACCGATTAAAGTGAAATTTTGCATGGTGGTACCTTATATCCCCGGGCAACATCTAAGATACTTTTCATTCCAGAAAATTAAAGTTTTGCTTTTTAGTGGTGAACCCGAGCGAAGCGAGGGTGAGCCGCTAGTGTGGTATGTTTGTGGTTGGTTTTTTTAGTGTAAACTAAGTTCGGTGAATCTAGAGTTTTACTTTAGACATAATTTAAAAATTCGATATGACAACATATAAATTCACTGGAAATTAAAAAAGAGCCAATTTTTCAGTCCACGCGAGCGTAGCCGCGGGCAAAAAGCTACAGCAAAATAAGAACGGCACTTTATATAATATGTAACTTGAAAAAGAAGGAGTTAAGGAGGGAGACTGTAAGCTTCAAGTGTACATAGCAATGGGTCTTTAAAAATAACGTAGATGTTAGCCTATTAGTATGTTAGTTAAAAAACCCATATTATCCGTGTTATATGATTCTTATTTCATAAGTCGTAAATATTGTATGCTATTGTATCATTGTATCTTCTTCTATCTTTGGAGACTTGGAGTAGAAAAATGAGTAAAAAACACGGGCAGTGGAGCTTACTAAATATCTAAAATGAAAATTTATTTACCGAATATGTAATCTATGTGTAACATCTTTTAAGATACCTACTGGATATTTTGAATTACGATCGCTAAAATTAAATTTGTTTTCCTTATATCTTTAAGAACACGAAATCTTACACGAACTTATTTTTGCAAATAATAAAGTATCCCTAGCGAAAAAGTTTATTTTTTCCGTAATATGATCGCGGGCTAAGCCGCAAGTTCTGCTAGTTTTAAGTGAAATCAAAAAAATCCATCCAATATACTGAGGATCATAGAGATCTCGACATCTGGCGGGAGAAAAAGGCAAAATTCATCTCCATTAGAAACTGTGAATTTGTTTATATCTATTTTTTCAATATTTAAATTTTACAAGACACATTACAAAATAAGTAAATATATATTAAAAAATGGACGATTGGTTAAATTCGCAATATATCAATAATTAAACTTGTATTTATTTAATTGGTTTGAAGAGCATTAATAGCAAGTTTCAAGTATCTGATCATAAATCATTCTTTGCCCATGTAAATTTTATTATGCCCTTTTAACCCTTTTAAGGGATGAATTTGGATAAAAATCAAATAATTTTTTATCAGTTAAACACCACTTCTTGTGTATTTCAAATTAAGAAAGACAGAGTTTGGATTCAATCTTTAATCTCTTATTTTACCCAATTAGGGGATCAATTTAAAACAATTCTTTCTTGTTGTATGCCTACATCATGTAAGGAATACGTCCTTTAAATTTCACGTTTTTCCGACCAGCGGTTTAGGCTGTGTGTTGATCCATTAGTTAATCTGGACCACCAGAGTATGTACTTTTTTTTCTCAATTCTTCCTTCAGCTGGACTGCCTACGCTTTGGACATTCAAGCACTCCTGTTCATCTGGCTAAGATCAGGGTCAGGGACCACTCATTATGCGAATGCGGTTTGGATGAAGGTTCAGCTTCCCACATCCTTTTCAACTGCCCCAAACTTCTTCGTCCCCTTTATGTTGTTCTTCCTTTTAAAGTCCCCCGTCCCCTTAATGTTCAATGTTTATTGATGTTTGTGTTTAGTCCCCTATGTAGATTTTTGTGTAAATATATTAAATTTAATAAAATTAAGCTTTAGAACTAACATCTCTTTAAGTTAACCTACTAACATATTATTTTTACATAGTATAATTTAATTAATTTTTTGTGTTGTTTTTTCTATTTTTTAGGTGGAGGTATAACATTAAAATCCTTCTATTTAATACTGTTAATCCACTCTCTTAGTGGAATAACTCAAAATATCACCGGCCAATCTCGAACGTGACTCCTCCATTCAACGTGACATTGGCGAAATAATTTGTGCTCAACTGGCACGCATTAAAGCCATTAAAACAAAGAACTGAACTGAGATTGAGCGGTGTCACAAACTTTAAGAGATGCTATGCATATGTCAATTGTCACTGTGACATGAGTCAGATACGTCAAAAGCTATACGATAAACATGTGGAGAGAAGGTATAAAAAGATCGTGATAGATAACATTGACTTACTCTAAAACATAACTTGAATTATGTTTTATAAATAGTACTTAAGTAAGGAATTCGGTACTTAAAATTGTTTTACCAAAATGATCCCGGGATATGGTGCAGTGACGCAAGCACTGCTTGGAACACTTTTTACGTGGGGGCTCACCGCTGCGGGGGCCGGTTGTGTATTTTTTATTCGGGGAAAACATGTAAGTATAGTTTCTAAAACTTTAGTTTGTTATTTATGTTGGCCATTTAAATGTAATGAATTGGTTATTTTCAGAGAAAATTACTTGATGTATCCTTGGGTTTTGCTGCTGGAGTTATGACAGCTGCTTCATATTGGTCTTTACTAGAGCCAGCTATAGAAATGTGTAAGAAATCTGGTGTATATGGACAGGATGGCCAATATGCTTTTGTTCCTGTAGCAGTAGGATTTTTGTTTGGGGCTGTGTTTGTTTATGGAACTGATAAATTTTTGGATTTCCTGGGAATTAATTCAACAAACATGATGATGTGTAAGTAACCTTTTATTAAATTATCATTATTAGAATAAGAATATAATAAAAACTTATCAAATATGATTTTACTAGTATGTAAATATACTTGCATAGTATTCTATAGAAATAAATCAAGTGTATGTAACATGAGTTAGTACAGTTCACATATTTAGACAACACTAAATATTAAAAAGTATTGAAAAGGTATTTTATTAGATTTATTTGAAGTTAGTTATGTATGCTATATCTAATAGTTTTGACCGAGGGTAAAGTGACATATACTATTAAATAATTTCCTACACTGTGTGATGATGTTCAAGACCCAGGACAGCAAGCAAGTACATAGTGGTGCAAGCTTCGTCAAAAAGTAAAGTTTTCCTATGATTTGTTTATTGATGATTTTATAAATAATTTGGTACAAAGTGAAAACAAAATATGATTGATTAATACGACCAACATTCTTGCGGTCTTTTCATTTCACCTTTTTAGTATTAGCTATAATAGGTAATCATAGTAAAACATACGCAGTAGTCTTTCTCATAAGTCCATGGAGTCAAATGTTTAAACATGCTGTTGGTTATACTTGTTATTAGATAATTATCTCATTTAATTTACATAGTGATAGAGCTATGTTAGAAGCCTTCATGTTTAAGCATATAGTGATTTGCCAAAGTTTCATTGCCATAGTATGAGTCCGCTCATAGAATTTACTAAAAATAACTACATAGCTAAAATATAGGCTAATAAATGTAAGTCTTAAGTATTTGTCATATTTAAAAAAAAACAAATCAAACAATATTTAAATTAAATAAACTAAAAAATAATAAATAATGAAAATTTTTAACTAAGCTAGCTAACTGAACTTAAACAATTTTAGACAGCACTATAAAAATATTATCTTAATGCAATCTTACAACAATATAATTCATACAAGAATATTTCAAAATAAATATAATATATAAAAAATCACACAAGTTACCTTCAAATAAGTAAACCGTTAGTTAAATTAAGAAAACAATATAAAAAAGTTTAAGCTTATCTTAGCATTATCAACTGCTTTAATTGTACAGTAGTTACTGAACGTAATAATAAAATATCCAGCTGAGATATGATTTGTAACTGTATCTTTTTTTATTTACTACAAGATCACTTTTATAGTGCTTATACCACATTTAAAGCAATAAAATATGTCATAGTAACATATAAGCGTCAAAGAAACTTTAAAGATTAAAAATGTTTTTTTAATCTTTAAAGTTGTTGTTTTATAAATGTAATGAATTCTGTATGAATAACAATATTTTGAATAATATGCCAGTTGTTCATTTTATACATAAAATATAATCATTGAGCATTACAGTAATTTACATAAGAAAAACATAAAAATATGTTATTAATTACTGTATTTCAAAGAAAATAATACACATCAGAGGACATATAGTTAATTTTATTCACCTATAGAATTCATATTTTTACTGTTCTAACTTTTTTATTTTCTTTACAACAATGTCACACACGACGTCGCGACATTGGCGGTAAAATTGCTGAGGTATTGCTTAGACTACTCGTGATACTCCATAAAATATTGTATAAATATTTAAATATAGTTGGCACATGGAAAATATTTTAACAACATATCAAGATAGTAAAAATCATAAAAAACTGTATTATATAAATATATTTTTCTTATACTCATTTTACTGAACTATACTTCTATGTAAACAAAATAATTTTCTAAACTGCAGCCATAATTTTTATGTAGTGCTTAAACTATTGACTCTGTAAATGAGGAAGTAGCATTTGACTATACAATATATCGCATGTACTTATATATTACAAGCTTTTATTTAGTTTCACCTGTCCCAGTGTGTGTAATAGAATCTTGCAAGTTAAATTTGACTCACTTCCCAATGTTCGATTGAGCTGAAATTTGGCACACTAGTTTAGTTCCCGATACAATTACAATATGCACGATTACCTAAATACCGCCATTTTAAATTCAATATGGCCGACGTTACAAAATGGCGATTTATCATTTCCATAGTGGCCTTTAAGATAAGGGCATCATGACACCATGGGTAAGCAAAGTTATGTAATTGTAAATCCAATATGGCGGACTCCCAAAGATGGCTAACTATGTTTTTTTATGCATCCCTATGATATGTATATCAAAAGAAGGGTTTTGCTGAGAAGAATACGAATAACTAATTAATAAAATATTTGTAAAAAAACATTTGTAAAAACAAGCTTTTACCTGTGTAAAATAAACAAGAAATAAAATGTTAAAAATAATCTTTTTATAAAATAGGCAAATCTCGGGACAAACTTTTATATCATGTAAATTGTATAATGTAATAGATTGATGGAATTGATTTAAAGTTTGTTTTTACAAATATATTTTTTACAATTTATTTATTAATTTGATTGAAATCGAAATGGAGTCATGTGAGGATCTTCTTTTTCATGTTTTTTTAGTGGCAGTTGTTTGTTTATTTTTGATTCTATTATTATTAATATTTCTACAAAGTTACTTTTCACTAGCCAACAATCTGTGTATAGATAAAGTATATTAAATTGTGTCAGAAAAGATTTTGTTAAATTACAATCACTTACTAATCTTTTTAGATCTTGATTAGATAAGTCTGATTTGTATATTTTAGTGTTTTTTTTGACACGATTCAACTTTGATATATGTATCTATATATAGGGGTATATATTTATTGTATAGGTACTAACAACTAGCTGATCCGACAAACCTCGTCCTGTCAAATCAAGTGTGTAGAAAGCCCGATTAGAAAAATGTTTTTTACGTTTTTCTGAACATTTTTCCAATTTTCTTTTCATAAGAACCTCCCTTGGACTTTGTTCTCCAGTTTTACGCTTAGGCAACACGTTAAGAGATTTAGATTTAGAAGATTTATTGTATTATTAAGTATTATATGTATATATTTATTGTACTTAATTATTTTCTAAAAAAGTTATAAGAATTACTCATACTGTTAAATAACAGATTTAACACACTAAGATTTATGTCGTATCAGGAAACATACTAGCTGTTAACACGTGCTCGTAATTTACCATGTCCTTATCTTTTATTGACAATGAAGCCTTTGTGAATTATTATGGGATTTAATATAGATGTATATAGATATGGTTGTCACTTTGGTAAAAAACACAATTTTTTAAGTTTTCTTTGTCATTAATTAAATACTAGGTACGACCTGCAGCTTCTCCCGCGTACGTGTTTCAATTTGGCTTAACGTTACAAACAGTTGTTTATACCTACGCCTGTATGTGCGCAGAACAAAGAACTTAAGGTGTATATTTGGGTTTATTCAACTCGAAATTTTTTTTTAACACAAACGTAGGTAATTACTTTTTACAATAAAGATACACTGACTTTAAAATCAATTAATTCAACCTCTAAAGGTGGAATATCACTTTTTTGAAATTTTTAAGCGACACGAATAATTAAAATCGATTCGCAATCAGTGAAAATATCGCGTAACATACCCACAATAAATATTTGAGTACATCCTCTTTATAAATTATAAATTTTATTAAATCAATCAAACGAGCGAAGTCGAATATATTGTCCAAACAAAACTTTCATCCAGATTCTAGTCCTATTAAAAGTTTTAGATAGGAGCATAGGTTTCATGCCATTATGTCGTAACCTGCCTTATGTTAGAGACTAGCGACTGAATCAGCCCTCGATTGCTGAGGTCTTATAAATAGGTACAGCCTACGCCTTTTATCTTTCAATATTAATAAAAATTGTTGCTGCTAATATTCTTGCCTATCCTAATGAAATATATTATACTAAAAGTTTTGAACAGATAACGTATTCCTTTGCCCAAAATGAGTAATGTAGGTAAATCGCACTATTGGTTCTATAGTTATAAGCGTACAAACGGACGACGTAAAGGCAGACGTGTTTTCTAATAATATGTGATATTGCACCTCCTTGTAAAAATCCTATATCATTCAAATATTAATTAAATTATTTTTTACAGAAGTAGACAGATCTCATGTCAATTATCTACTCTTACATTTTTTACGCTTCAACAGTGTTCATTTGTTCGTTTAGCTAAACCTTCATAAATATGAAAAAGTAATTATATGAATATTGTATTATAATCGAACTCGGTATCTTTGGCTTGCTACGGCTTTATAAGAAAGAACAGTTGAACACCAACTGTTGTATCGTTTTACGTTTATTATATTTAATAGAATGAGTTCTTTATTTAAGAAACGGGGTTTTATTAATGACTAGCATTACCCGCGGCTCCGCCCGCTTTCAGATGACCAAAAACCAATTTCTTAGGTTTTACATATTATATTCTTACATTACAGTTTTTATATTTTTTCTCAAAAATGAGTTATTTTCCCGCGGTAAAAAGTTTCCTATATGTTGACCTGGATAACCAGCTACTATCATACCAAATTTCATCAAAATCCCTCCAGTGGTTTTTCCGTGATGCGGTAACAGACTCTGCATCGATAATAATGTCTATTTCAATAAGATTTTCCAAAAGATATTTAATGTACAGATTCAGCTTAGTTACAATTTTGTTATATATATATAGACTAGCGTTTTCCCGCGGTCCGTATAGTAAGTTAATGTAGGTATTATCATATCTTTATAAATTTAACGGTTAGTATGGAATAAATAGACTATATATTATATGATACATGCCCTATATATTTCTTCAATAAACAGGCTATATAATGCAAAAATATTTTTTCTAATCGGTTTAGTAGTTTCTAAGATTAGTGCGTTCAAACAAACAAACAAACAAACTCTGCCTCTTTATTAGTATAGATAACCTATGTGTATGTGTTACTGATGAATAAGCTATATTATTGTAATAGTTTCATAAACAGTACATTTGTTCAGTAATTTTTGCGTGAAAGACTAACAATTATATACATATATCCATACACCCCCACAAACTCGTGTTTATTATATGAGTAGAATAGGAGGTTTCAGAATATATTCATTTAACCAAACTTAATAA